GCGAAAGTCGTCTAAATTTACACATCAATTTTCGTTAATTGCTCACCATCCGGAGATTTATAAATATGACACGTTTGATGTAGTTCCAATTTGCTTTTATTCTTCGATTTTTTCCTTTGCGTTTTGTTATCATTTTTCGTATTTTTTTAAATAGATTTTGGTGATGTCCTGGAATTTGCATCTATTTACAATTGGCTGCCTATTTAAATCAATTGTGTGCCAGCAATGACCAATAACATCGTTACCTAATGTCATTAGCTAACGTTGTACGATTATCATGAAGGCGATAATCGGAAATTTCTGTGCATCGGAAATTTCTGTGCATCGGAAATTTCGAACAGAATTTTATTGGAAAAAAGACAAATTCGACTTCTTGAAGTTCAAATTTTGGATATAAAAGCGACTTGAATCTCGACCGTTATGAATCAAAAACTGATAACAAAATGTGCGTTCAGAAATTTTGATTTCGACTGAGATAAAGTAAAGTCATTCAATTTTACGAACAATTGATTCGTCCAACGCTTAAGATTTCTGAACGTTCACCGCTGTTATGCGTTTCGTTCCGATAGCCAATTGGAATCAAAAACCGATTTCGTTGCAAATGAAATGCATAAATTGTTGTATTTGCATAACAAGCGAATTTATTTCGACTCGAGACTGGTTTGTGATAAACTTAAAAGCCGAATGAAAAGCAACAAAAATTAAATTTATTAATATTGAAGTGTGGAAAGTGATAAAATGTCGGCAGCGACGCTTTTGTGGTCGTGCATGGCAAGTGTCAAAAATTCTGGCGCACTTTCAACAAAAAAAATACAAACACTGCCCGAAATTGGCCGGACTGTCGAGCAGTTGTAAGCGCTGTTAATTGCAATGTGCGTCTAAATGAAACAGAAACTCTTGATTTTTTTTTCGCTTAAATTTCGGATTGACGTAATTCAAATCACTTGCATTACTCGTTTTCATTTTTTTACTTGATGAATTAAATCCTGTATGGCTCCAAAAATAGCATAATATTTTGGCTTAGTTTTAAATTTATCCGCCAAATTGTTATTTAATAAGAAAAAGTTGAGCGGGGCTATCAAAAGGCTTTTGGGTTGATAATCGTTTTTCTTTTATTCAGAAAAAAATCATACGATTTTTGACGATAAATATTTTTTTTTAATTTTGAGCCCAGCGAATAAAGTCAATCTCAAGTGATACGATGTAAATTGGGAAAGCTTTTTGTACAAATGTGTCTGTTTTGTTCGGGCGCCAACGGTCGACCGTCGACAAGCGATTTTTGGATCAGCCAATTTTGCATCTCGTCACTAATTAACATTTCAAATAGTAAAATAGCTTTAACACCTTGGGCATTCACCAGTCGTCATGAAACCGTAAGTGTCTAGCCTTTCATCGATCATGCCAAGTCCAATTAATGGATTTAAAATTAATTGTGCACCGCATTTAGAAAATTGGTGTGCTAATCTGCGGCTAATTGCTATCAGAGTTCAAAGAAAGCGTTATAGCATGTTATTTGAGTTTTATGACCAAACCGTTCCGAATTCATTTTTATCACTTTCGGATGTTTGATACTTAATGTTGTTTGTGATGTGAAGAAAGTTGATGCGATCCATGGTCGAGTCGAGTATAATGAAGCTGTGTGTTTCAATTTGCACTGCAACAGGAACGGAAATGCTGAGAGGAAGAAAAAAAACCCGGCCAATAAACACATTTTTATATCGATAATAAAAAAAAAAACGATCCGACCGAATTACGCGTGATGTGTGCAATCGCATGATAATAATGTTCCGTACATTACGGATTTTTTTCTCTACAAAACATTTGGTGTGAATTACAATATATGCATCATCGCTTCCATTTTATGATTGCGCAAATGGTCGTACTTTGAATTAAATATAATTGCTGTCTTGTTAGAAAGAAAATACAACATAATATTTGAAGAAAAAGCAGCAGAATTAATTCTAATAAAACTTTAAATTATGCAAATGCACACCAAAAACGGAGTATAGGGGCAAGCAAGCAGCACAGTCGCATAAATGCCATGGTCCCGTTTGGAATCGCTGCCCATTCCATATTGGAATATCACAATTATCGCCCCGATCAAATCAAATCGAACACACAAATATTTTTCCATACTTCGCCGTCCTTGAAATACATACCAATAACGCGCGAGCGCACCTAAGACCAGACACAGCCGAATGAAATGAAAAAAAAATTCGCGCGCGCACACACCGCATTTTGAATCGAATTCCAACGCCGAAAATAATCAGTAAGTAATATTTGTGCTAATTTCAAATTAAGTGAATAAAAAAACCATTAATAGTAATGCTAAAAGGTTGAGCTGAAAAATTGCTCGCGAGCCGCGAATCGACTCCACTTCAGCCACATTCAAACACGGAACGAAACGAGTAGTGTAAGAAAGAAAACAAAACACACACACACACAACACCGTTTGATAAAAATCAAATTGAACTTGTTTTTAATTAATCAGTTGAAAATTATCGATGGAGCGGATTCCAAATCGGTGTTTGGCTCAAATCAATACTCGACGAATTAATCCGCTGAAACAACACCAACAAAAAACACAGAATGAAACGCGAAAAATAGTGTGAGTGCCTGAGTGCGAGCGCACGATTGAAAAACGAAAATATTGCCTTTTTTTCGTTTCCGCTTCGATTGGTTTGGTGTGTGCGAGGGTTTGAATTTCGCATAAGCATCGAGCACTTCAGTTGGTCGCTCTACGCATTTGGCTCGAAATATTCAATAAATTCATATCAATTTTGTTTTTCCTCTCGCGCTCTCCCAATGCTCGTGTCCATTTGTTCAGTCATTAATCGGTTCGATGTTGCTGTTGTTTTGACCATGTTTGTGCGATTTGTTAATGACCGCATTAGCTCAGTTTGCAGACGCATTCATGAGGCTGGTTTTGTCCAAACTCCGTGCTCGTCGTGTCAAATTCGGTCGGCGATTGACTGTGTTTTGTGTGTGTGTGTGCGCGTGTGGCTGGAGCAAGACACGACCGCACCGAAGCCATCGCCAACCGTGGTAATTTTAATTGGACTGTTCTCGATTTCGTTGCGATTAGAATCAAATAAATTCATGTCCATTGGACTATTCCATCAAATTACATTTGATTTTTCGTCTTTTCTCTTCTTTGTAAACGAAACAAATCATGCATCGTTTTGACCATCTGTACGGCATGGATTTTTGCTTCACCGTCAGCCATCAACGATTTTCTGTGTGTTTACGTGCGTTTGGCCATTACGTGAATGGTTCAGAACACAAAATGTGCAGTGTGCACTCATTAAAATATTTGAGCGCGATTTACCAATCGGAGTTGATTTCTGCAGTTCCATCAATTTTGATGGAATTTTATTTCGTTCGCAAGTATATTGAAGAGATCGAGATCGAGATCGATCAAGAGCTAGAGAAAGAGAGGGAGAATTATAGATTAAGAAACAAAAAAAACCGACAAAGTTAGAAAAATATGGAAACAGATGTAATTTGATGGAAAAAGTGCTGATTCAGTCATTTCTAGGCGAAGAAGAAGCATTCGACCATTGCGTGATGACCAATCATTGTGATTTCAATGATTTGGCCGATTTTCAGTTCGTTTCTCTGTTTCTCTTCTGACAGAAACAATTTCAATTTTCTCAAATTTGTTTCATGGAATTCCATCGCTGGCACTGGCAAGAAATAATAGTCTATTCCTTGCGTAATCACCGTGATTGCTGCTGCTGCTGCTGCTGTGGCTGTAGCCGCTGTCGTCGTTGCTCTGCAACACTGTAGTAAACAGATCACCGCAGTGAGATCTTGTTAAGCATATTAAATCAGAGCGTACGGAGAATGATGTGATATTGTATTTCACATTAACTGTTGCACGTTCTTGTTATGCTTCTCTCGTTGGACTACTGATTTTATTATGGTCAATTCAGTTGAATGTGGTGTATTTCCATGCTCTTTGTGTCTGGGTGCAATGGTACATATTTTGTTCGAACACAGCGCTCGCGCTCATAAGTCTCAACATGCCAATGCAATGTTTATTTATCGTTTTGCTTGTGCTGCTCTTCACGTTGCGCTCGGTGCGCGCCAATTCCAATATTTTTATGAAGTGCAAATATTTATTCTTCGATAAATGTAAACACATTCCCTTTCAGCTGTAGCAAAAGACAACGAAAAAAAAAACACGTACACACTCTATAAGAGTATTACTCTAATCTTCGCATCGGAGGCACAAGTTGGCTGGAGTCCGAGTGCGCATTTCTCATGTACACGAAAATATTCGTCCACTTCAGTTTTTAATATATTGAATGCTTCCATTATAATTATTGTTATTAATTAGCAATGGCAATTTGATGTGAAATATTATATATGTGCTCGATCTGGGCGAATGGGGCGCAGTAAACAAATCCATTTTATTTCGAGCACAATACATTTAAGTACTCACTTTAAGTGATCCTTTGGCGTTGCAACCAAACATATTTCGCGAGAAAAAGACATACACACATATCGGGTATTCTTTTCAAGACAGTGCACACATTCTCTCTCTCTCTCTCTCTCTCTCTCTCTTTCTCAAGAGCGAAAAATTGTGCACAACAACAACATTGGTTTTTATGCTTTCTATAAATCTAATTTGCAAATACGGACAGCGATTTTATGGCCAGCATAAAGAAATTGAATGAAGCCAACAGCACTACACAAGATAAAAGAGATGTTGGTTGTTGGCATCGACCGTGTGTGTGCACGCGCACGTCGCGGCCTCTTGATTTGCATTCACATGTAAAGTGGATTTTTACATGCTAAACTTTATGGCCTAGGCCTGCACTGATTTTCATTCAAGTTACATAAATTAATAAAAATACTCACAAAACATCGAAAAAAAAACAACAACAGCAAAAACAACAACGATATGTTTATTATACAAATTTTTTATGGCCGTTCTTATAATTTCGACTTCGTTTTTATTTCAATCGAAGCACGAACATTTAATGGGTTTCCATAAAAACTAAACACTCAATTTCGTAAAAGGGTCTTCAAACAGACAATCTCAAATCAAGCCGGTGAATGCACGGAGAGTTTCCAATTCAAATCACGATACAATGTTGTAAGGAAATATTTCGGTTTGGGGGAAAATTACACATTAGTACGGAAACATCACAAGAATACACCAAAACTTACGAATATTACACTGAAAATGCATGTAGTTCAACTAAATTACACTAAATATATTCATTTGTGGAAATTAAACGAAAATGATGGTTCGATGGCGATGTTTCCTCAGTTGTAGACAATTCCGATGACGTATTTTCGTTGTTAATTATCGAGAAAAAAAAAACTCCTGGATTCATTACATATCCACCTGAAATTATAATAGCCACATTAATTTTTTCGCTAATGTTTACTACTGGTTTGTGTTGAATTAACTTTTTTCTTAGTAATAATATTCAATTTGAAACCATTTACATTTGCATGGTTTCATATTTGCGCGTCAGTTAATCTGTCTTAAATGCTCGATTGCCATTATGGCTCAATAATGCGCCGTTTCATGAATAAAGTTGGGGAAAAAATTTAAAGTTCGGGCACTGCGAGCAAGTTAATTATTATACACTTTTGTTCTTGTTAGCATAGCAGTAGTAAAAATAAGGATGAAGATTAATTTTTTTTCTTAAATAACTTTGATTTAAAACTTGATGAATTAAACTTTAAACTTCGGCGTAGTTACATCGATGAGTGTATCATAATCTAAAGAATTCTATGAAAATGCATTTACCATCAATGAGTTAATGTAGTATTCATAGTGAATTTCACCTGATTGAACATCAACAGCGGCTGCCATCATCTCTTCCACCTCGTCCTGTGAAATACAAATTAACATGGACATTGTTATTATATTCGAATTCTACAAAACAAACTCGTCTTCGTCGTTTTTTCGTTCTTTCTTTATTACTTTTCCGTACACACCGTGTCAAGGGAAAGTATAGGAATTGGTCCCGACAACTTTTTTCGCAAAATTGGTTTAGATCATCATAAAAACTCATGAAACGCGTAGAAAACCACTTTTTGAGACACTTTTCCGTTAGTGTGCCGTCGCCGTCGTCGTCGTTGTTGTCGTAGTTGGTGTTTGTTAACACGATAACTCAAAAAAAATTGAGATAATCAAAATCTGGAAATGTTTTTGTATTCGAAAAACTTAGTTTAAGTTCGAAGATGAGCCATTTTCGATTTGATCCTGGGGTACTTGCCCTAAGAAAAACCTCAAGAAATTGACACTTTTGTATGGGAGGTACCCGTTAATCGATTCTGATTGGCTTCAAACTTCCTGGGATTTAATTTTTTGGGAGAAAAATAAGATTCTGAAAGTTTGAAACTAATCGGAATCGATTTACGGGTACCTCTCATACAAAAATTTTGAAATTTTGACTAAAATTACCGATTTTTGGACAATTTTGGATGGGAGGCAGCAGCGTACCCAGAAAAAAATTTTGGAGGTTGTAAAATCGATTTTTTTCCATTTTTTTCTTTATGGTGCAACAAAAATTTTGTTGCACCTTTAAAATTTTTGGAGGGTGCAATGCACCCATTGCACAGGCCTGGGTACGGCGCTGATGGGAGGTACCCGTTAATCGATTCCTATTGGCTTCAAAATATCTGAGGTTTCATTTTTTCGAGAAAAAATAAGATTCTGAAAGTTTCATGTTGATCGCATTTGCAGAAGTTTGATTTTTTTCCTCAATTTTTGTCGAAATTTTCTTGGAAAAAATTGAGGGCCAAAAACCAAATTTCTGCAAATGCGATCAACATGAAACTTCCAGAATCTTATTTCTTCTCCAAAAAATGAAACCTCAGAAAGTTTAAAGCTAATAAGAATCGGTTCACGGGTACCTCTCATACAAAATTGTCGAAGTTTTAGTTAAAGTGACCGATTTTTCACTTTATTTTCATTATTATATTTTCACTGCCTTTATTTCAAGAAAATTCACAAAAAATAACCAAAAGTTCCTACGGACAACGCAGGCCAACGGTACGGAAAAGTTCGGGATTGCCAATGTAATTCTTTTTATGTTTATTTCTTCATAGAAATCTTCATAAAGATTCTTTTATTGTTTATAAATGATCCAGATCAAAAATTGTTATTCGAATCCTCAAAAACTGGAAGAAAAACTTTTTGGTTCTTTTTCATCAATTTTTAATATCTATATGTAAACATACAACTCCTAGAATGAAAAATATGTTGAAATCAAAATTGAAAAATGCGAAAAAAAATTGTCTGTTCCTCGTTGTAGGTCTTAATCAAACAATTTACAATTCGTGTCGACTAATATAGTAGACTTTTATTTGGCAAAGAATTTACACACTTTTCTGCCCACAGGTTGAAAAAAATGGTTTGAATTCGAGGAATGTTACATGGAATTTACTTGCCTGAGTGAATGGCTCCCCTTCTTCAGACATCAATTTGCTGATATATTCCTTGGACAGTGTGCCTTTTCCATCTGGATCGAGGATGTGAAATGCTTTCAAAAGCTTTTCCGCCGATGCTGGCTCCATTCTGAATAATCGCGAAGAATGACAGAATCAAACCAATTTCGTTTGAAAAAAAAAAATGAAGAAAATTATATGAACCAAAGAAATACCGTATGCATCTGAATTAACACACTATGCTAAACTTAGTTATAACGTTCGAAATCTTGATAAGTAGACTTTTTTTGAAATGCGGTACGTTTTAGTACACATTAAGTACAATCGATTTAGTTTGGAAAACGAAAAAAGCAAAAGTAAAGGCAAAATACAAGAAAAATGAAAAAAAATACAGAAGAAAATTTTAATGTAAAAAAATAGCTTGTGCCACACACAAAAAAAACGTAAATGAATTCAGAACTAACTTGTGTTCAGCGAGTAATTGTGTGACATGTGGTAAAAACCGTGACAAATGAATGGTTCCGTTGGAATCCTCAAGTTCGGTAGCGGAAATAACTTCGTTAATTTCATTTTCAGACGGTACACAGCCTGTCGAAACGAAAACGAAAAAAACAAAATCAAAACTAATTGGTGGAATTGTTGTGCATGTTTTGTGTTTGCTTCAGTGTTGTACATGCCTAAATATCGTAAAATAGTTCCAATTTCGCGAACATCGACCGTTTTGTTGCCCTGATGGTCGAATATCAAGAATGCGTCCGAAATGCGCTTCTCCAAATCTGTTGTTGCAGCTACGGAATAGAATTTTCAGTTATTTTTTTTTTCTTTCGTAAAACATCATTTATGTGAACCAAACGAAAACACACACAAAAAAATCGCCTAATTATATAAAGAATGATTAAAAAAACCTGTACTTTCGGAAACACCTGCCATTATTGACGGCCACGAAAAAAAACTCTAATTTATTATCGATCAAACAGATTGGGTTTTTTGTGTGTGTATGTTAGACGCGTGCGCGGCGCGCATTCACCTACCACCGCTTGCATAATTTGAAGCGATTGTCCGGTTCTTGTCACCTCTCAAGCTGTCGATCGGTTGTTGTTGTTACTAGAGAATAGCATTGGAATATGGATGGAAAAAAAGTGAGCGAATTTTCAATTATCAGCTCATAAAAAAATGTCAAAGATTCGAAAATTGGTGCTGAAGAAGTTGAAGTGTGAAAAAAGTGGCATTTCATTGCGATGGTGTATGGTAAATGCGGTGTGTGTGCGCGCGATGGTGTACAATGTACATTCGTGTGGGCAAAATACAGTAGCAAAGAAGCATACCTTGTTCGACATGGAAAATATGCCAAATTACTATAATCTTAGATGCGAACAGAGACAAAAAAAAACCGCTTCACATTTTTTCGCATATTTATTTTGAATAGATTAATCAAAGTGGAAATTGTTTTTCGATTGAAATATAATAAAACACTTGGATTTCAATCGTGAATCGGAATTTATTGATTGGATTTTGAGCAAGAAAAAAAAAACACAATAACAACAACACTGATCTGATCTAGTTGGAAATCATTTTTTATTTCAGAATTGCGACAACGGCGGCAACGACGACAATTAATATTGTCAGTTTTGATTAACGGTAATGGTTCAGTTCTATTGACACCAAACGGATACTTTAAGAAATGCGACTCTCGGATACTCGTTTTGCAGATAAAACCATTTGCAATGGAACTCACAAATGAGCAGCGGGTAAAAAGTCAATAAAATTGAAATCAAAACGCCGATCCGAATTGATAAAGTGTATTTTGACTGACATCTCATGTTATTATTTCTCAATAAAAATACTAAAATTGAATCTTTTTTCCGTTCGCGTTTGGATTAATATCGAAATTGAAGAGAAAAAAAAGAACCGAAATCCAAATATTCGATTGTCATATATGCATTTTGGTCCAAAGAAGTTTTCTTTCGTTAATTGCATTCATGTTGCGATTGACATCACACATTTCCCACATTGATCGAACGCAGATCGATCGTTTCCACCAAAATGCATAAATGGGAACGCATATCAGAAGGAGGAAAAAACCGTGTGGCACAAACAAGAGACGACGAACAACAACAACAACAACAACAACAACGACGACAAAAATGTGACGTTAATTACGACCGGTACACATCGGCGTAAAGCACGTGCCAATCATTTTAAAATGATGCATTTCATTCATCGACGACGACAACAACAACAACAACGACGACGATGCGGCGAGCAAATGTGCTTTGAAAATCCACCACACTTCAAACATGCGTTTAATAGCCAAAAGCGGATCAAGGCAAAGAGAATATGTGCAATGGCATTAGACAGCAGCAGAATGAAGTGAAAAAAAAACATGGCGAGAATTCTACCTATGGCACGACGGAACAACATAAAATACGATGCACCAAAGATCTTAAGGCGTTAACCCAATCAGATTGAGCATTCGAGTCTGTGGATTCGAATTGTTTCTACCGCTGTTCAGCACATGGATCTGTTAAGTTGGCTCGTCTAAATTAGTTCGTTTCTTTTCAAATCCATTCGAGTTTCTCGTTAAACTGCTTTGAATGGGTTAACCGTGTAAAAGAATCCGATCAAAAGAAAGGGAATATGCAAAGAAAAACGAATGGTTTCCAGATGTGGAAATCATGTTCGACGACAGGTCCAAAATTTCATTAATCTAAATGTAAACGGCATCGAAAATGTATGAAGAATGTGCTTCTTTAATTTCAACGTGAGTTTTTAGTTGCGATTTTTTCGTTTGTTGCCGTGCGCTAAACGCGAAATAATGCTCTGCTCTGACAAGCGACAGAATAATGGATTCGCGTTTTTTTTTTTCTCTCGCTCGAAAATGTGCACGACGATGCATTCAATCGATCTGGCGGGAATTCTTCATGTTCATATTCGGTTGTGATCAACACAGTACACATATGGACGTAAGAATGTATTCCGCAATCCGTGTGCTTCCATGCTCTAAATGCGGAGCAAAAAGGTGGGTAAATACTTGAAATTTTCGCGCCTCGAACGACGATTTTGACAACACAGCACCGACAACAACAATAACGACGAAAAAAACACGAGAATCATTTTCAAAATGCAATCGCATCGATAGTTTCAGTTTAAGAGGATAAAAACGAAAAATTCGGCGTATGAAAGCAAACATGCCTGGACACATTGACAGGAAACATTGTTTCGATACTTGAAATTGCGATTCGAATTAAAATTGAGTTACATTATCTCATGTCATGTGTTTGTTTTTGCAAACGGCTCGCATTAGCCGGCGCAGCCGGGGCAACAACACACAGCCCCGATTATTGATTTCAATCATTTCGATTGGTTTCAAACTCATTAAATTACACATATTGAGCAATTACTACATGTGTTACTTTACTGTTCAGCTCTCGGTTGTTGTTGTTGTTGTTGTTGTTTTTCTTTCTTCTTCTCTCTCTCTCTCTCTCTCTCTCTCTCTCTCTCTCTCTCTCTCTCTGTGTGTGTGTGTGTGTGTGTGTGTGTATTCGTTTAAATGGCTTTTCTTATATCATAGCCATCGTTGTTGTTGCTATTATTGGCGGCTGCTGCCGTCGTCACCGCTGAGAATCTTGATCAATGAAAGAAACTGCTCAATTCACAACTTTGACATGTTTAATGGGTCAATAGAAATCGATCATCGAGACAAATGCACACACACATTGTATCATTTAGATACTCTTTTTTTTCGCGTGTGTGCGTTCAGACAGCGCACACTCGATCACTTCAGTAGCGCACTCATTTGTTTGCATGGTCGTGTGCGTGTTGGTTTTTCTGCACTCATTTCGCTTTCTGTGTTTTCATAATCGGTACCAACCGAGTAAATATTCATAATCACAACGGTCTATTAATCGATAATTTGATAGTAATTAATTCAATCGCCGGTTCCATACCGTTAAATTGGCGCAATAATCAATTGCGATTTGCAATTGAAGTGAGAGAATTGGCATTTATTAAAACGAATTAATAATGCCCCTTTTTGCCAATGTGCCTCAATGATATCATGAATTATTGATTAATTGATTGCTATGCGTAATGAAAATGAGTGTGTGTCCCAATAGCCGATCGGTTTTTCGTGTGTGCCAACCAGTCAGTCAGTCAGTCGTTCGAGCAACAATTTTGACCTGATCGATCGCTTTTTGTTCTTGAAAACGGTCAGTTTTTTTGTTGCTTAATTTGGCTAAAAACATGACCCACCGAGCGAAACTGAGAAGACTGAACAAGATTGCGAAAAGCTTGAACAGGACTGAGAGGCACCGAGAAGGAGAGAGAGAGAAATGTTCAAGAAATTTATGTCAGAATTTATAATTCAATCGCATGCGATTTGAATGCAGCACAGGCCCAGTTCAATCGCATGGAAAATCTGTCTTGGTCGTGGCCAAAAAGTCCAAGAATGATATGACATAATCGATGCGATGTGTGAATGTGATATCACAACCGCAAGCCCTGGTCAACAATCGCTTGCAAAATGTGCACCGCATTTCGATTATCTTCTCGGCTTTGTTGAGCCAAAACCCCACGACTACACAGAACAATATCTAATGCATTCAGCCTGTTATTTGCGTTGTTTGTTGCACGAGACACCTTTTTTCTCTTCTTTTCAATCTTTCTCTATCTTTTTCGGAATGAGTTGGTTGGTGTGCGGCAGCGCTTACGCTCACGATTACATAAATTCTGAAATTCAAATCGATTTACACTATTTTATTGATATGCAGATAAAAGCGAGCACCAAATTGGATTAGACAATATGGTTCGGTATTTAATGAAATCGAGCGGTTTTTCGCTTGCAATGGCCGAGACGAGGCGAGGCAAGGCACGACAAAGCTCAATCGCGTATGTATGTTTAGCCAAGTGGCAAAGTCGCAATTTATTTGAAATGAAGTGACGCGGTCAAATTGATCGCATTCAAATTGTAAATCGGTTTTGTGTTGAGAGCTTGACTCGACTCGGTTCGGCTCTCAGCCTTCCCAGACTTCGACCATTAAAATGAGTCGAATGAGAGAAAATCACTTTCGCACTTATAAAGACAATTAGAAAGTTTATTCAATAGTCACAATGAATTTGTCGTTTACATTTTGAACATAGGCTTTGGGTTTTCTTCATCGTTCGGACGCTACCGTATGCAAATCGCACCATTTTTGTGCGCTGTGTATATGTGTGTGTGGCTGGCTGGACACTGCTCTGTGGCTGATAATTGATTTATTTAGAGCCATTAAATGGGCCGTGCACTGCTTTGTTTGATTGGTACAAACAAACGGCACACATTGCAATGAGAGAGACACTTTTTGTGCGACACATTCTCAAATCGATTGTGATATTTTCTTACGGAACCAATTGCCGATCCAAATTCAAAATGATTAATGATTATTGATCGGCACCTTGTTTTCGATTTATGTTAACAACAAACCATTAAAATACTATCCAACGTCCAGGGTGCCAATTTATTATGGTGAACTACAAATTTTTCCACAGTGGTTTATGGACCTCGTAGACAATTTTAATCTTTCACTCCTCTTCTCTGTCTTTCTCTATGCAGATACCTCTGTGTTTTGTTCCACCTCTCTTCCTATTTACCTCATTTGCTGTCTCAAAATGAATTGTTTGTCGATGTTTGACGGAAAAATATTTACAATCCCAGCCTACACTCTCGAGAGCATTGTTGCAATGGACAAGCGCACGCACACTCACCGCATTTCGTCCATTCGTAACAGCTTCGGTTGTATTTACATTGTTGCGGCTTTTTTTCTGTACATTTTTTTTTTTACTTAACGACGGGACTGCGCAATTGCCAGTGGCCAATTTATTGCGTATAAAATTCAATTAAATGACAAATTGTTCGCATTGCTGCTGCGGTTGCCGTTGTCGCGCTCTGCCAT